AGATGATGGATGGGAGAATGATTGGAATAAATGGTGATCGTATGATGATAAAGAAAATTTTTGACATACCATAATAATGATATTCGTGTTGCTTTTTTGAGATGCGGGAAAGATCAAAAAAGTTTATTTATTATTAGCATCAAATTTGGAATTATAGACTATCCTGTACAACTACTTATATCTTTGAAAACTTTACAACAAATCAGATACAATCTACTATTCTAAATAAAAATCATATTTTTCGATTATATCACGTCTAAAAATGTCTTCCTCTTCAACCAAACCACTAAAAAACCTATACACGCGTCGAACAGCAACTACCGAGCGCCCATGTTTTGTGTGTAACAAGTTTACTATGTGTGTTCTAAGAAATGAGGACGGAAGTGATTGGTTTTATACGTGTGTTAGGTAATGGGAATGAAACATGAAATTTCTTTTTCTTGAAATATCGACGAATTATTGGGGATTTATATGGATAGTGTACATTTCAGGATATTTTTTTCTTTGACTTTATTGGAATGAAGAACTTTGCAAAATCACTAATTTATATGTTTTACTGGTCAAAAAGTCACCTCGACGATAGAGGCTTCGCCCAGCCTTTGATACAACCTCCTCCTCCTCCTCTTCCTCTTCCTAATCCTACTACATCGGGGACGACAACTTCCAAAATAAAAACTAGCGATGCAAAAACTAATGATAAAAAAGAGGATAAGAAAGAAGATAAGAAAGAAGATAATGAGAAAGAACCAATAAAAGAGGAACAAGAGAAAGAGAAAAAAGGAAAAAATGATGACGATGATAATGAGAAAAATAAGGATAAGTCTAAATTAAAAGAGCAGCAACAAAATACTACTAAAATTAAACCAATATCGCAGTTACCACCACCTAAACCTTCACAATACATTCTTCATCGTGATATCTTTTATTTACGTGAATCGAGACAAGCAACGAAACGACGACAGAATGTGTTGAATCAGTTTCCTAGTGTTCCGAAATCAAATTTACCATGATTTAATATTTAATTCGTCTGCCCCTCGTTAATAACAACGAAGTTGTTATCAACACCCCGTTGCTAGAAACATAAGTCATAGGACGGTTTTTTGATATAAGAATTCCCTCATAGATATCATCTTCACATAGTTTTGTTGATATCACTATCAACATAAAACTATAATAATATACGTTGATATCAATAGCTAATCAGCTGTTTTTACGCAGATATAAGTACTCGTTATCCACCCTCGTATATATCAATAAATTGTTTGGTCCCATGAGAAGTTTATTTATCAATACTAATAAATTATTCGAATCTATTTACAATCAAATCATTTTTACCCATAATTATCTGTAATAAAGAAACGATCCAAATTCACGAACGTCAAAAAAATAACCCTTTGTATTGTTTATCACCTTGGACTTTAATGCTTGATCGTCGTATGAGATTGTTCTCTTTGAATTTCTCGTATTTGTGTTTTTTCATGTCGCTATCCGCATATTTGCTCAGGTGATCTAAATTTTTATGAGAAAAATATTAATATTATTTCTATGGTCACCGCTCTTGTGAAGTATAACAGAGAAATTCAGATTGGGTAACTGTAGAAGGTTTGACTCCATTTAAAACATATACTTGCCATGCTTAAAACACCCTTCACAAAATAAATCATCGTCACAATCATGACATTTGTATGTTGCATCATCATTGCAAATGCCTTTTGGAAAAAAATTGAATAAATAAATGCTCAAAAAAATGAGTATTAAATTTTAATTAAATACATACAACACCAATTACTCGTGTCATCATCCAAACTATATCCAAATTCCATAGGATCAATAGGTTTTGGCGGCGGTCCCAATTCCGCTACCTTTTTGTCACTACTATTTTTCTTAATATCCTTTGTATTTTTCGCGCCATTTTTTTCGGAGGCAGATTTCTCTTTTTTTGCTTTAGCCTCTTTCGCTTTACTAATCGCATTTAATTTCGCGACATTAATTGGAGTCCCACCGCCAATACCCACTTTTAATAATTTGTACCGATCCAATAGTTCCTTATCAATGTCTTTTCTCGATTGTTCATATTGCGTTTCCAGTTTTACTTCGTCTTGAAACTGACTCACTAAAGAATCGATATCCTCGTCGTCATCTTCGTAATTGATTATTGGACCTACGAATGGATTATTTGTGTTCTTGTTGTTGGTGCTGTATGAAGGAATGGCTGGGACGCTAATAGTGGAAGTTGGTGGAATATCAGGAATATCAAGGTCGGAAATGTCGAGTTCCGGAAATGAAGAACGTGCCCTTTTTTTCTTTAACATATAATCATTTTTATCTAGGCTCTTTTCGTCTCTTGGTATTCTTTTGTGTTTTGAATCTATTGTTTCTGTTAATGAATTTTTAACGGAGAAATCCTTTTTGGAATCAGCATTATCTTCATTCTGACCTGATAATTCTTCAAGTATTAAAAGATCAATCTAAAATAAATATTATTCACATTAAAAAGAATTGATAACTATTATTGATATTAATAAGTTATCTTTGATTGTTTACTTCATCCTGTGAAATTTCATCTTGTTTCTCATTTTTCGATGTCAATTTTTTGTGGTTCTCAACTTCTAATTCTAGCAGTTTCCTAGTTTTCTTGACGTATGGAGTTGTTGGAGGATTTGTCGGTGTTTTGCTGACTGTAGATACAGAATTAGTCAAATTACCATTACTATCGTTATTACTGCTATTTTTATTTGTCGCAGCGACCGGTTTCCCTCCAAAGAGTCTAAATCGCGGCCGTGATTCGCTTTCACTTATTATTATATTTTTTAAATAAAATAATGTATAATAACGTATAGCCAAAAAAATATTTCATTTTATATAATTCATTCCTACGTTACAACGGCTGGTGTAGAACTAGACTTAGGACCGTCTTTCTTTCCCAAATCTTTTATATCACCATGACGCGTTTCGTTTTGTTCTTGTTCTTTTTCTTCGAAATCAGAGACAGTATTATTGTTGCTTTTGTTACTTTTTGAGAGAATTCTCATAATTGAGTTCTCAGCTAACTCACGCGAACTATAATGGTTTTCGGTGTGACAGAAACCTGCAATTAGCTAAACTTCTGACTGGAATTATATTAAAATGGATTCCAAGTTTTGATTAGGCAATGGAAATTAATAAAATGCGGGGAACAGTTCTTTTCATTCCAGAGATTTTTGATTAACAAAAAATATTAATTTAAACAATTCAAATTTCAAATATATATTATTAATTCATTTAATTTATTATTTTTTCTTATTCTAATTTATTCAATATTATTATTATTATTATTCTTATTTTTGATATTATTATTTTTTTATATACTTAAAATAATTAATTCAAAACTAGATCAAATTTCAAAGATAAAATTTGAATAAAATACAAATAATATTACATGTAAAATTATTTTTTCAACATTTTTAATTAATAATTCAAGACAGATCTATATATTAATTTTCTTATAATATCACTTTATTTATTTTTTTAAGTCAGATTTATTTTATTAAAATAATTAATAATTTGTATATTTTATTGATTATTAATAAAAAATTTATGTATTTTTATTAAATTAATTACAAATTAAAAAATTAAGCAATTATTAAATTAATATTTATTTTTAAAATAAATATATATTTTAAATTGATTTTAAATTTAAACTAAACTTAAATCAAAAAAATTTTAAATTTAGACTTAAATTAAATTTAAACTTAAAATTTTTATTTGATTCAAGTTTAATTTGAAATTAAAATCAATTTAAAATATATATTTATTTTATTATTTATATCATAAATAATTTTTAATTTATTATATTATTTATATGGGCTATTGCAAGAAGATTAATATATCAATATAAAAATTAATAGAGTGAATCTACTTGTCACTGCCAGTAATAGTACCAGATCATGTGAAGTCTAATAATATGTAATATGATAACTAATCATGTGATATGATAAAAAGTCTAGTAATAGTAATTTTTATTACAAGATCATTGCTTAAGATTACATATATTTTTTCTCACATTTTTTTCCTATTGCTGCTATTTCTTGAGCTGAATAAATAGAATGATAGGTAAGTAAAAAATAACTGGATTGTTATCAAAAAATCTTTCACTCATATAATCTTATTACTATTAGAATAATGGTAAAGAGCAGATAGGGTGATAGATGAGTAAATAGTTGATTTTCATCTTTTTTCATCAAAAAATCATAATTCTACTTATCATAAGCTATTTACTATTAGTTATCAATAGGACAATGAGTAAATAGGATAAGGACAATAAGTAAATAGGATAAAGATGACATGTCCAGATGAGTAAATAGCTAAATTACCATCAAAAAAATTATAATTTCACTTATCATAATCTGATTTCCATTAGTTGCTATTAGTTATCAATAAATAGGGTGATAGGTTAGTAAATAGTTAAATTATAAAAAATCATAACTCCACTTATCATAATCTGATTGTTATTAGTTGACTAGTTGGATAACAGATAAATAGAATAATGAGTAGATAGGAATAAAGTGAGTAAATAGCTGAATTTCCAATTGAAAATCATAATTCTACTCACTATATTTGTTATTATTACAATTGCTGATAAATAAAACTTAGGGTAAGTAGAGTAAATAGGATGAATAAAAAAGAAAAATAAATAGCTGAATTACTATTAGAAAAGTTGTGTGTTTTACTAAAAGTTTCATATCAAACCATTCTATAAAGGTTATAATGATAGTTATAATTCCATATTTCTCTTCCATTCCATATTTTCTCTCATTTTCTACTATTTCTTGCAAGTCAGCGCATAATAGCTGACATCTCTACATTTATCATACTTGTTTTGATCAGTAGATTTTTTGCTTTTGGTTAATATTTTACCACTACTCTTAAATCACTTAATGGAAGATTATTCTTTTTATCATTTTTCAATTGGATTTTTAACTTTGGTTGGATTAAAATTTTTCTTGTCTTTATTATTATTATCATCATTATTATTACTACTAGTAGTTTTTTATTCTTCAAAAAACTAGTTATTAAGGCTTCTTTTGAGATGACAGAGAGATTTATCACCTATCTCAATAGCATACCAAATTGTCTTTCAAGCAAGATTGAAGATTTCATCATAATCACACTATTTCTAAACTGCACAGTGAACTTCTAGATAGAAGACATCTTTTCCATGAATTATAGTAATACTATGTATAGAAAAAAGCCTGGGACAAGATAAGTAATCATCGTGTGATTATACTAGACTGATATTCATCATGAAAAATTACTTATCTAATTCTGATTCTTGTATTTTTTTTATTTTTGTACTAGTATCTGGAAATCAAAGTTATATAGAAGAATACTTCATTATTAATACTTAATACATACCAAAAATACTGACAAATCAAGTCATAGTTAATTAGTAATATACATGTACAGAAATATGAATGATCAGTGAGAATAATAATGAAATTATTATAGATGCAGTGGCATTATTGGATTTTATATATCTTGATAATGTTACTTGAAGAAAGGTCCTCCAGAAGAGAAGTCAGGTAAATTTGTTATGAGTTATATTCTTCTTAAGTGAGTTTGTTATTAACCAAATAATTATTTTCTATTATTATATAATAATAAAGTGATTATATAATTTTATATCTTTGTCAAGAAAGTATTTCTTCAGTAAGATACTCTTTAAGAATATGATTAACTTTAAAAAAACACTTGGTGGAAGCACCAATTAATTATGCACTTGTATTGATATAATATCATTCACTATGATTAATATATTATATTTCATCACATAGCTGCTGATTCAAAACAGCTGCAAGTTCACAAAGATTGGGATAATCTTGAAGATTGTTCTTTATTACCAAGTTTTTACTTTCAATTCATGATGTTAATGAGATGCTAGCGATAAAGAATTTTGTTATATATGTCTTAGCCTATCTTTTTTTACTAGGATAAAGCTCCAAGTTAAGATAACTAGCTACCTTGGAATATATTTCAATAAGGCTGTATCACTAAGAATCAAAATCAACAAGAGAAAAAATATTTTAACACATATAAAAATCTCTCAAAAAGTCAATAAAGGTATTACTAAGAGAAGTTTTGAGATTATGTAAAAGATTTTGTAAAATATGGTAGATATAGTGAAGTAGATATGTATTACTATATTAACTGTTTATAACAGCATCCATATCAGGATTAGCATCAGTAATAAAAACTCACAAAACATAGTTTGTGACTTGTAAAGTAAAAAAAAAAGCCATTCATATGTTTCTTTTATTTCATCATTAATCAGAGCTTGGATAATAAGACAGATATAAAAATGATTGTTAATAGCTATGAATAAGGAAAGTGATATATTATATTAATTTGTTTTATGCATGTTGTCATTTAGTGTAATATTATGATAGGTAATCTATCATTAAACTTGATCTGACAACATCCAAAATAACTTATCCAGACTATTTATTTCACAATCAAGTTTCCAAAATACCTCTCAACCTGATTTCTCAGCCTTTTTGATAAGTAGATATTTTAGAAGTCTTGCTATATCATTTTCTTTTTGGTCTTCTATCTTATATTTCTGTATTTGATTTTGCAGATCACGTAGAAATATTGTGATATGAGAAAACTTAGTAAAGAAAAGTCAACACTAGATTATTGCACCAAGATTATCTTTGACTGTATAAAAGTGAATTTCTTATAAAATAGCCTCAGGTAAGGTCTAATTTTTTATAGTATACAGATTAATTATAAAAATGAGTAAATGATTATGATTAAGCTTCAATAATATTATACTAATAATTATAGCTTTCTTTAGGAAAGTTACATTAACATGCCAAGTATAACCAGACCACTTTGATCTGCTATTTCATTAGTTTTTCAGAATTATAATCTTCTTAGGATTATAAGCACCTTGATGATCACATGCAAAAGTGCATCATCAGTAAGTTCTCTCTGGAGATAAGTCTTATTTATTTCTAATCTTAATAATAATGAAATTCTCTTGCAAAGCATAGTTATTAAAATATTTATCAACATCATCCCATGTTTGAAAGACTTATCCAGAAAAAGGTGATACCATTAGTAGTGATGATGGAGAAAGAGAACTAGTGAAAGGATAGATTTGTGTTAGTATCCTATAAAAATATTGATAGAGGAAATTATGTAAGTTTATTTTGTTAATAGTTGTAAACAAGATAAAATACGATATGAATAAGTTTTAATTTTATAACTTATAATTATTTTTATTATTTAAAAGTATTCAG